AGGGTTTTTGGGTTTGGGGGTTTAGGGTTTTAGGGTTTTGGGGATGTAGGGTTTAGGGCTTTAGGGCCTTTAGGGTTTAGGGGTTTCAGGGTTTTAGGGTTTGAGGGTTTTAGGGTTTAGGGGTTTTATGGGTTGAGGGTTTTAGGGGTGAGGGTTCAGGGTTTTAGGGTCCAGGGTTCAATGCTCAACGTTCCAGGGAGTTTTCCTTTGTACTGTTGGGGTCCCTTTAAAGGGGGCATAGTGGTTGTAAAGGGTTTGAACGAGATATAACAGGGATTGCGTGAGGATATGTGGAGTTTTTCGTTGTAATCTTGCTAACCCTCAACCCCCCTGAAAATTGGGGATGGGGATTCATGATACGGACATGATAGTTATAGCATCAGGGATCTTGTCAGGCAAAGGGTTGCCTTGGGGAAGCCCAAGGGATACAAGGGGTTTGCAAGGATGACAGGGGTCACCCTGGCAAATGGGGATTTGGGTTTGGGGATCTTTGGTGCTTTTGGGTTCAGGTCCCAAAGCCCCAAACAAGCCTTAAACCCTAGACCTAGGGGGTTCAAGGGGTAGCTGCATGTCCAGTCTTAAGGAGTTGGGCACTCTGAATGAAGGAAACACGATCATTTTGAATCAGCAGGGCTTTGGGAATCTCGAGACCCAAAACGCAACACCCTAACTCATACGCCCTCCGCCCTAAGTAGTAACCTCCAGACCCTAAACCTCATTTCTGAAGTCCTAAAGCCCTAGTCTCTGCTTGACCCCTAAACCCTGAACCCTAAACTCGTGCTCGCAGGTCACCTACCTGTCCCAAGAACTGGAGGAAGCCCAGGCCTTTCGTTTGCCCATACGAACCTTAGCCTAAACCTCCTTACAGGTGGTAGTATAGGGGACTATACAGAGGAGTACTGTAGGGATTATCAAGGGGGATACTAGGAGTTTTGATTATGGCTCAGAGAGCTATTATGGAGGTCAACGGATTTGAGATTCTGGTTTGAAGCAGTCTTCTCTTCTGAGATAGGGTTCCAGGGCAGGTAGACTAGACGTTTCAAAAGGCAAGGGATCCCCGGGACCGCACAAAATCCTCCGCAACCGCGCAGCTTCCCCTAGACCCTAAACTTTGAAAACTAAACCCTAAACCCTAAACCCTGATAGTGGAGTGTGGTACAGTGGGTTTAGGGTTTAGGTGCAGGTCCGGGAGCTCCTGACACATGCTTGCCACACCATCCCCGAGAGACCAATGGCAGACCCTGCAAGTCGCTTCAGATCCAAGGCATTCCTTAGGGCACTCCGTGAGGGTATAGAATTTAGGGTTTAGGATCTAGGATTTAGGATTTAGGATCTAGGGTTTAGGGTTTAGGCTCTAGGATTTAGGATTTAGGGTTGGGTGTTCAGGGTTCAGGGTTTAAGGTCTGAGTTACTCCGTACTGTAGGGATGTATAGGAATCTATGAGGATGTACAAGAACATACATCACATTAGGATACGTACGGATATAAGAGCTTGTGGTACTCCTAACTAAGCACGAAACCCCAAAGCCTGCATCCTAAATCCCAGCCTAAACCCTAAACCCTAAACCCTAAGCCCTAAACCCTAAACCCTAAACCCTACCCTTGAAGCGCAAAGCTTCAGCCCCAGAACCTAGTCCCGAAGAAGTGAAATCACACTCTACCTTACTGGCCCCTAAAGTCGAGTTCCTTTTCAGAGTGGTATCTTACTTGGGGATAGTTTTATTCCCAATATACAGTAAGAACGCCTGGTTATGGGGTTTATGAGAGGAGTATAGTCTTACACGGTCCAACCTCCAAAATGCACAGCTCATCTGCCCCGCCTCGCACGTCTCCTGCATCCAGGTTGCTCTTGGTCGGAAGTATCAAGAGGCTCAGGACCATGCAGCACTGGCTAGCAGCTTAGGCTTAGGGGTAGAGTTTAGCGTTTAAGGTTCAGGGTTCACAGGCTTAGGGGTTACGGATTAAAGTTTAAAGGCCAAGGGTTGAGGTTTCAGGGTGTAGGGTCCAGGGTGAGGCGTTCAGGGTCCGGATTCCCGTTTTGTGTGGATGTTTTCATTTTGAGGTTATATATTGGAAGGGATCCCATTTTTTGGTTTTCTCCCTTGAGACAGGGCCATAAAAATGACATTGAGTTCATCTTCAGACTTGATTTATTCCGAGTGCAGAGTCACGGCTCTCAATGTGGAGTAAGCTGTCTGGCTAGACCCACAAAGCCTTGAACTCTCAATCTCCAACTTGAACCCTTAACCTAAACCCTAAACCCCTAACCCTACACCCTAAACCCCTTCCCCACGCCCTGAACTTTCAACCCTAACCCTCGAGATCTCTCTTAACAGCCCTTGGGGTTTAGTTTCAAGCGACCAGCGCTAGATGCATGGGACATACTGGGTTCCCACTGCCAAAAGTGATGCAGGGGGCTAGGGTTAAGGGTTTGGGTTCAGCATGTTTTCTGCCAGGCATGTTCTCTTTTGTTAGAAGCTTTAAGCATGGAACCCCGAACCCTAAACCCGAAACTCTCGGGACTAGTTCGCTGGACCTGGAGAAAAAGTGCCACAAAAAACCCAAGTCTAAACTCTACGCCTTAAAACCCCAAACGAAAAATCCGAAATCTTTTTACACTCCCCGCGATTTTCAGGAGGAAGCCGAGCGTGCTGCCCGTGCTGAGGCACGCATGGAGGCCAATGTGATGTTGGGTCAGATGGGGATACTAGGAGTTTTCACTATAGCTCATGTTGGGCCAGATGGGAGGTTTGATGTAAGGAACCTCCCATATTCCCAGCCTTCCAAGTGGATTTTCCAAGTTCCACGGCTTAGACCCTTTCTCGAGGGCTTCCTGAATTCTCCAGGCAACGCTCGGCCTCCTTCGTTCTCAACACTTCCCAAACTTTGGCCAGAGGCAACCTAAAGTGCTACAAGTAGAACAGGGTACCTGAACTACTATGATTCCTCAGGCGTTTAAGCATCTTTGCGGGACAGCATCTCCCATTTTTGTAATGTCATTAGGGTCCCGAAGGGTACCCCAAGTAAAAGCGTCCCTAAAGAAGCAGGGAGCGATACATGGTTCTCAGATAAGGCCTCTACAGTTTTGATTTTTGCGGTTGCTCCAGGGAATGTGATGTGTTGGGTTTGTACAGGTGGAACCTCAGTTTGAGAACTGCCCTTCAATTTGTTAAGAGTCATGTGTGGGATACTGTGGAGGTTGTGCAGAGCATTCAGGCCCTTGGTGGGTCCCAGCTACCTTTGGTGTCTTTCATGATCGTTTGGGGTAAGGCTCTATTTGGGATTTAGGTTTGAACGTTCATTTTAGGTTGGGGGTCTACTTGGGGTTTTGGGTTAAGGCCTGCAGAGTTTAGGGCTTAAAGCTCATCTCGGGTTAGGGTTTAGGGTAACTAAGACTGGGGTGCCCCCGAATTGAACCGCAACGCCGCTGTTTGTCATCCCATGCAGAGAATTACTCCATACGAAGCATCTGGAAACTCTGAACCCTAAACCCGAACCCTAAACCCTAAAGCTTAGGCCGCCAAATCCTCAACTCAGCCCCAAGCGCGAAACCTTAAAGCCTCAACCATAGACCGCAAGCCACTCAAATCCTAGACCCAACACCCGAATGCTGAACAATTAGCCGAAAATCCTAGACCCCAAATCCTAAACACCGGTAGCCGCGACCCTACTGTAGAAGGTCCATTACTGTACCACCAAAACTCTCTTTCCATTGTTTAGGTCCCTAGGTTACAAACCCCTTTACAAGCCCAAGTTCAATTTCATTTTCGGTTTTCCACTTCGTTCTCTGCTACTCAAACTATTTACGTTCAAAACTCTAAACTTTAAGCCTGCGCTGCTGTGGACAACTGTACCCGTAAGCACCATAGCATCACTCGGTAAGTTCCCAGAACCAGCGAGGCGCTAGCAGAGGACCTGCGCAAGGCCAAACTCAAAACTCAGGACAGCATGGGATGCTTCTGCAGTTGTCTCTTTGTTTTTCAGGGTTTCAAGCGTAATGGGCTTCTACTGTATTCTTCTTTATTAAATGGTTTAGACTATGTCACATCAAGGGATGTTGAAGGGATCTTGGTGATCTGGGAAAAACGTTCTGGACATCTAGATAGCAGGAGTGTAATGATGAATGTATATGGTTAGAGAGGTTTGCTGAGAGGTCCCAGGTCCCGAATCACAACGTATGGTTGGTTGCGGTTAGACACACCAGGCTTTTTTTGTACAGGGTAGCTAGCAATGAATGTGCTATACCAAGAGAAACCACATTAGAATCACTAGAAGGAGTGATCCTTATCAAGCGTAGCTTAGATGTTCTGCCTGCAGGAGCAGGCTTTCGTGAAGGAGCGCTTCGCATCGTGCGCGTCCAGCCAGCACGAGGCTGGCAAGTTCCTGTCTCCAGCTTAGGATGAAGCTAAAAAAAGATTTCACACCCTGACAGTGTTAATCTAAGTATACAAACACCTTTGTATAGTTTCAGAGGGTCCTAGCGCCTCCTGCCAGGCGGCGGTCGGCTTTCAGGCCGCCTTGACCGCCAGTGACCAACACAGCCTGGATCTTGAGCGTCGCTTTGCCATCGCCAAGGAGCAGTATCGCAAGGCGCAGGCACGAGCCCGTGAGATGTGCCGGCTGCTTGAGGAGAGCGGCCCAAAGCGATTGCGAGAGCTGTTGCCGGAGCCCCGGCCCGAGGTCTCCGTGCGTGCAGGCCGTGAGGCTTCTGGCCGGGAGGGCCCAGCCAGTGCCGGAGAAACAGAGGCGGTGATCCTGGAGGCAAGCTCGTCGCAGAAGGCCGCCATGCTGGAGCTCAAGGAGCTTCATCACCGGCAGCGATGTTGCTTGGTGGGATTGGGTGAGCAGTTGCAAGGGCCCCACCGCAGTGCCACGCACGATGCACTGCAAGAACTGTCAGTAAAGGCCAAAGACAGCCTAGTGGATGGAGTCAAAGATGCCCAGACCACGCTAGGAGCCCTAGAGGCTGCCTTGAAGTCTGCAGCTGAGACTGCCTCCAGTGGCTCTACCTCCCTTAGCCAGGAGGCAAAGGTCGCAGAGGCAGACTTTGCGGACCGTGCCGAAGCCCTGCGCCTAAGCTTCGGCTCCCAGCGCCAAGCCCTTGCAGATGCTGCCAAGAGGACCTCCGCAGCCCTCGCAGCCGCTTCTGAGGCTGTCACGGAGCTCTCGAGCCTTTCGGACTCTTCCCTGGCTGGGGCTGAGGAGGCGGTGATGAGCCTCAGGGCTGCTCATGCAGAGATGCTCCAGAAGCTCTGCGAGAAAGCGAAGGAGAGTGCAGACTCCGTGAAGGCCTGGGCCTAAGCTCTGCTGCTTGTAACTTTGCCACATTCACCAAGGCTACAAGTGAAGTAGTCGCCCAACAGCCCACAGTCTAGCTTCACATTCCTCACATTCGGACAGCTCCTCGCAAGGAGCTTGGGGCAATTTTCCAAACCATTCTCACAAGCTTAAAGCAGCCACGCCCGACAAGCCAGCGGCTTCACGATTGGGGCTTAAACACACTTAGGGTGTAGGGTTTAGGGAGCAGATTTTAGCAATCAAGATGATACCCCAAAGCCTTAAAGGTACTACACCAAATTTATGAATTCTGCAGCCGAGGAGTATCCTAAATGAGTTTGGAGTATGATCATATGATTCTTTGGTATGTAAGCATTCTTGGTTCCACTACCAAAATCATTATCAGATGGTGAAATGTGCCTAGCTAGGGAATCTGTCGGAGCATCCCCACAACCTAGAAGCCTGGATCCCTAAACCCAAAAAGTAGACCGTAAACCCTAAATCTAAGACTCTATCTCCGAAATCATACACCCCTAAGCCCTGCACTCTAGACTCTATAAAGTTTCTGCAAGCCCTGCGTGCCCTAAACCCTAAGGCCTAAGCGGTTATGTAGCTCTGCTAAGCCTAGCTTCCCAGGCAGAGACCTCAGTGGGAGCACAGGCGCTCGAAGCACATCAGACGTGCTCTGGCGATGGTTTTTGGGGTTTAAGGGTTTAGGGTTCAAGCGCAGTGTGCAAGTTTAGAATGCAAGTTGAGGGTGCGAGTTCATGGTTAGGGTTTAGGTTTCGCGTCAGTCGTCAGGGTTCAGGGAGTAGGATTTAGCATATTGAGTGTAGAGCGAGGGCTTCGGGGTGTAGGTTTCAGGACTTGGAAACATGTAGGTTCTTGTAATTGTGGGATATAGGTAGGCACCATTTAGGGTTCATATATGGGAATGTTGCTCAGGCAATGGGAACCTACTGTAGTATGTCGGGCAAAGCAGTCGGCTTCTTACGAGGATGCAACATAGCGGAGTCTGATCTATGCATCTACCCAGACCCGTGGGAGGAACTCTTAAGGTGGATCTACTTTCTAGATCCGCCCACGGGTCTGGGTACTCCTGTTTGAGGGACTTATCAGGATGCCGCACCCTAAACGTGAAGCCTTTTGAACTCTGACTTCTCGCTCACTGTCCCAAGCCCCTACAGCAAATGTTTACAACCCAAGCCCTGAACCCCCAAACCCCCT